AAGAAGTGGGAGTGATGATAAGGCCAGTGGCCTTGGCAGAGCTGCTCCCGGTCACACCTGGCCGGGGGTGGGGGTTGGGGGTAGAGGTGCTAAGCCTCAGCTCCCTCCTGGAGGGCGGTGGCCTGTTTGTCTCCAAAGCCCCAGTGCCCCGCGTGCCCAATAACTGCTGTGGGCTCGTTCTCATTGGCAGCTCGTTCTCAAAGCTCTTGCTCTGAGTGGAACTGGGAGGGAAGAGAAACTCAGCCCCAGCCCTGAGAGTGATATTTGCATGCTCCTTCTAGAAATGGTCCTCAAACGTGGGGGTGCATCAGGGCCATCTGGGCAGCAGGTTGAAATACAGGTTCTCAGCTTCTGCCTCCAGACACCCAGATTCAGGTCTTGGTGGGTCAGGAACATGTGTTTGGTAAGCCATGGAGGACCTGTGTGTGACCTGTCAGCCACAGTCCTGCCAAATGCTGGCTTGGGGTCTGGTACTTTCGGTTTGCACAGGACAGGTGGAAGGGGAGTGATGCTGTGGGGGCGGGGGGTGGACCGGAAGCTTTTTCACAGTTGTTTGGAGACAGGCCCCACCCCCTAGCTTTAGGACGACTTTCCCAGGTGTCTGTGCGGCCGAGGACACACCCCTTCCAGCTGGTGTCTTTCACGGCAATAGAACTTGTGATGTCACACCAGCAGCCCGCCAGAGGGGACCGCAGGCAGCTCTGAAATCATTCCACTCCTTGTTGGACAAGATCCTCGCGGGTTAAGTGCCAAGCAAACCCCGACCCCTGTCCCGGGGACACACCCTGCGAAGGGCCGGTATGTTGCGGGGTGCAGGAGAGGGGGGGATCTCTCTCATTGAGCTGTTAGTTGGGAGACGGGACCGCCCCACAGAAGTGCTAGAGAGAAATGAAGTCGCGTCCAGGGAGGCGGTTCCGGGTAGCGGGGCTGCTGTTAGGGAGACCCTCCGTGGAAAGCTGTTACTCAGGCACACACGGGGCCGCAGGGTGGGGCGAGGGCCAGTTTTAACAAACAAAGCAGAAAAGTCTCAGCAGAGAGGCTGGGGCGGCAGGATGGCATCCCCTGGGTTAGTGCCCGCAGCGCTGTTTGAGCTGGCGGAGAAGTCGCAGTGCCGAGCGTGGATTAGGAGGAAGAAAGCCCTGAACATGCAAGGCAGCCAGGCCTACAACCTACAGGAGAAGAGACAAGAGGGGAGAGAGCAGAGTCAGAGCCTGAGACCTCGGGGAGAGGGCAGGGGGAGTGGCTGAGGCCTGGCCAGGGCACAGGGCAGGGGCCCCTCTTTCACTGTGGACAGAGGAAAGGACATCCCCACTCCAGTCCAGGCTTGGCAGCAGAGCAAGCTTGGAAGGGAGCCTGGCATAGAGAACCTCCCCCAAGCTCTCCCCTGGGACATGGCCACAGAATGCTGAACAGAGGTCAACCAGCAGGCCCATGGCTCCTCATCGAAACTGACATCTTGGAGTTTACTATGTCTGCTCCCTGCATTCTCTTCTTTAAGATCCAGCCAGAGGGGATCCTGGGGACCCAGGCCAGCAATCTGAGTTCTCACCCACCCTAGAACAGGCCATCATCTGCCATGGTGTGTGGACAGAGGCCCTGCCACACGCTGTGGGTCTGCTCTCAGCCCGGGGAGAGAAACAGCCTGCAAGGCCCTTGCCAGTGGCCAGGTGAGCCGCCAGAGCATCACTGTTGTTTATGGGAATGCCACACGCCAAGAAGGGGAAGCTGGATGCAGAGACAGTAGGAAGCAGGATGTGCAAAGGGTTAAATGCAGACAGGCAGAGGATCAGGGAAACGGCAGAAGACACACTATTCCTCCAGGACTGGACAGTTGTTCCTAAAGTCAGGGTGACCGGAACGTCCTTTCCCGTAGTAGCGGCTCCGCCAGCGCCTGGGAGGGCCCGCAACCATTTGCCAGATGTGGGAGGAGCGCAGTCCAGCAGGTGATGGAGATGGACACCCAGCATGGGTGGGTGGAGGGGGGCCCGCAGGAATCAGGATGGCAGGAGAGGGGGGAGATGACAGGATGGGCCAGCACATCCACCACCCCCCCAAAATAAAAATAAGCAACAAGATTGATGGAAAAGAAAAGAGAAAATGAGAATTAGAGGCTTGAGTGTGTGGAAGTAAAAATCATGAACAGAAAGCTTTGATACAGATTTGTTGAGGTATGCTGGCATTCTTTCCCTGCAGAGGCTAAAACTGATCACTTTGTGCAGGAAACATCCCCATTTGTAACTCTGTGTCCCATGTGTGGAAAGAGAAGGCAGGGCTCCATGGCCTTTGGGGAATCTGTAATCATCTCCTGAATGTCAGCACCTGCTCAGTGCAGCCTTCACTTTTGTGGAGGAGAAAACCAGGGCCTGGTTTGCTAAACGAGTCGCCCAAGGTCTGACAAATCAGATCCTTGAACTTCTTGTGAGTCCAGGAGAGCCTCAGGCTCCCACCCAAACCTAGCTCCCATGACCCCTCTCTTCTGGAGGCCCTTCCTCAAGCTCCCTGGGGGCAGCGTGCCCACATCGGCTGGGTTTTTGCCTGGCACTCAGCATGTTGTCCTCATTTCCTCCTTCATCCCCCTCATCCACCAAATATTTACTGAGTGATTACTACACCCCCGGGACTGTGCTAGGAGCTGAGAATACAGAGGTGACAAGACAGCGTCCTGCTTGGAGGGCTTACAGTGCATGTCTTCTTGTCTTTATCCTAATTAGACCATCAGCTCTGTGCTGGTGGAGGCCTGGCTCTGGCATGTGACCTCAGGGGTGGTGCAGCCACCAGCAATCGCTGGGAAAAACCCAGGCCTCTGACAGCAACATCATGTCACCCGCTATTTGTATTGGACTCTGATCCATCTTAAGTGCAAAATACTGAATCGAATCTTCATTATAAGGTACAGTATTCCCTCAACACATATCATCATTCCTCAGACTGTCCCTACGACGGGCTTCAGTTGCCACATTTCTTCAACAAGTTCTCCTCACAGCTACTGCTGGGCTGACCCAGCCTAGGCCTCTCCTCACCTGCAGCTCAAAGCTTGGTTTAGTTTATTTTCAAAACAACCTGGCAAACTAAGGTCTGTCAAATCAGGCCACAAAATGTGATCATTTTAGAGTTGTTAAAAAAAAAAAAAAAGTGTGACAGAGACCATACCTGGTTCATTCTGGAAGAAGGAGGTACTGAAACTACCACACACGTGGGCAGGTGTGAGTTCTCAGTACAGCTTCTCTGGAGGCTATGCTCTTGCCCTCCCCCCAACTCCCATCAAGAGAAGCACCACTTGGGACTTCCCTGGTGGTCCAGTGGCTAAGACACCCAGCTCCCAGTGAAGGGGGTCTGGGTTTGATCCCTGGTCAGGGAACTAGATACCACATGGCACAGCTAAGACCCACTGTTGTTCAGCAGCGTAGTTCTGTCTGACACTTTATGACATGCCAGGCTTCCCTGTCCTTCACCATCTCCCAGAGTTTGCTCAAACTCATGTCCATTGAGTCAGTGATGCTGGTGCAGCCAAATAAATAAATATTTTAAACAGAGAGAGAGAAGCCATTGTATCTATTCTATCTCCATGTTCTGGGGCTGTGGGAGATTTCACTTCTAGAAAGCGCCTTTCACCTTAAATGAAAGTTCAAAGCCACGTGTGACTTTGTTCACACGTGTTCAAGAGTCCAGCCACGTGTGACCTGCCACTTGTTTCTGTACAATCCACAAAGAAAGAATGTTTGGTTTTTTTTTTCCACCTTTCGAAATGGTTGGGGGGCTGCTATTTCATGGCCTAAAATAATAGGAAATTCAAGTTTCAGCATTCATAAGTAATGTTTTACTAGAACCAGTCAGCCCGTGAGCCTACAGGTCTGTGACTGCCCCCACACCAAACAGCAGAGCTGAGTTGCTGTGACACAGATTGTATGCAGTTGTGTCACTGCTTTTCACACTGCTGGGGGTACCGCAAACCCCACTGGCCAGGAGCCGTCACTCGAGTTTCCCTCTCGGCCTGCAAAGCTGAACTATTTCCCATGTTTAGGCCATGTCTGCCCACCCCTCCACTCTGTCCAGCTGTGGAGCTGAGGCCAGAACAAGGAAGGACTTCCCCAGATTCTCCCAGGGGCAGGGCAGACGTCTGTTTTTTGAGGAATCTGGCAGAGAGAGCCAGAGGGACAAAGCAAAAAGGGAAGGAGGCAGAACTCAGAAGAGAGGACTGGAGCCCACCCTGGCACTGAGGCTGCTGAGGACCATGATTACACAGAAGGAGGATGGGCCTCCAGAGTCTAAGCGGCACTTAAACCCTGGAGATGCAGCCCCAGTAACAGGTGGCTGCTCAGGGGGCTGAAGGCTCTGTTGGGAGACTGTCATTTTAAGCAACAGCCGCTCTGCTGGTTTTAGTGACGCTCTGTTTGACCCTCTCTCAGGCAGAAACTTCTTGTTGGGGCCTTAGCCTGGGCCCAGCTTTAGCACTGAGCTGATAACAGTGATGTGGAGGTTTTCATAGAGGAGGACAGGAGGCACTAGCCTATGCAAGTCTCCAAGATAAATGTGGTGAACAGCAGACTTAGAGAACGAACTTATGGTTGCCCAGGGGGAAGGATGGTGGAGGGGGATTTAGGCAGTTTGGGATGGACGTGTATACACTGCTATGTTTAAAATGGATAACAGATAAGGACCTATTGTGTAGCACAGGGAATTCAGCTCAATGTTATGTGGCAGCCTGGATGGGAGGCAAGTCTGGGGGGAGAATGGATGCATGTATATGCATGGCTGAGTCGCTCTGCTCTGCACCTGAAACTATCACATTGTTAACTGGCTATACTCCAACGTAAAATAAAGTTTTTAAAATGTGGTGAACAGAATCCCAGTACCCCTTGGGCGAGGGAATGAGTCCCCTCTGGCTAACCAGCTCTAGGGGTTCCCTAGGTGGAAGTCTCAGGCAAACAGAGCAGATGGTTGCCCACCCCCACCCCCCCACCCCCCAGACACCTGGCTGCAGGTCTGGCTCTGAGGGGTACTTACTCAGCAGACTTCCAGAAGTGCCCAGGGTGCGAGAGCCGCCGGTTCAGTTTGGGCAGCTTCTCCAGCATGTCCATCAGCAGGGGGAAGCTGGGCCGCTCCTGCAGGTCGAAGGCCCAGCAGGCAGACAGGATCTCCTGCAAGGCAAGACAACCACGGGAAGGCATGAGAGAGGCGCAGCTGAGGCCCTCTGCCCAGGGTCCCTTTGATGCTCCTGGGCACCAACCCCCCCCCAAGCTGGCGGTCCCCTGACCCTCCTGCCGACACTGAGGCATGGCTGGACTATGAGAAGTAACTGAATTTCAGGAGCACTCTCAGGCTTCCAGTTAAAATGACAAGCATGGGCCTGCCTCTCCTCCTTCCTTCCTTGACCTCCCTGGAATAATAGTCAGAAAGCCAAAAGACAGGTCAGAGGAAAGAGATCACAGCCATTTAGAATGGAAAGCAGAAGGCAGCATGTTGACAGGTGAGACACAAGATATTCAGAAGGCGGGGCTGCAACAGAGGCAGGAGCCTGGGCATTGCAGGAATGGAGGCTGGGAGTGACGAGACGGACTGGACATAGGGCAGCAGTGAGTCGGCAGAACAGCTGTCTTGACCACCCCAAGTGAAGGCAAAGCCCTTCTCCTGCCGCCTACTCTCCAGATCCACTCAGCCACACTGCACCCCCATCGGCCTTTCAATTCAGGAGACCTTCCGGTGAGAAGACAGGGCTGCACGGACGACCAGGCAGAAGGTGCTCGCGTGACCGGGCAGGTGGGGACCCAGCAGGGACACTCACAGCCTAGGTAGCACTTCACCTGGACGAGTGCCGGGTGGTCCCCCCAGAGGCTTCCATTGCCGTGCTGCCCAGGAACCCCCTGGAGCTCCCTATCAACACCCCGCTGGCATCTGTCTGCTCCAGGCCCACCTGACTCACAGGCACATGGCTAACACTGAAAACACCACCCCTGGCCTCCTTCACGTACCACGGTGCCAGGCAGGGTGAACTCACACACCGCGACACAGAGAAACCACTACTGGCATTCAGTCACGCGAGGGCAGCAAACCTATGATGATTTGGCCTCTTGAAAACAAATTTGCTGTGGAAATCTTGACTAGTTCTCAAACAGTCGAGAAAGACATGAAGGAGAAACATCTGATATTACCAAAATCCCACTGTTTGTCCTTTAGGTAGTGAAATTTGTTATTATCTTCTTTCTAGTAAGTAACATACAGGCTTTATTATCTTTCTCATAATTCAAGAAAACCATGAGCTTTATTTCCTTTTTATTTTTTTTAAGACAGTTGTTTTTTAAAAGTTAGCAGTGGGGTAGTGAAGGATACAGGCTTTGTGTGTGTGTGTGTGTGTCTGTACTCAGTCGCATGTGATTTTTGCAACCCTGTGGACTAGAGCCCGCCAGGCTCCTCTGTCCATGGGACAGAGGATACTTGTCCCAGGCAAGAATACTTCACTGGGTTGCCATTTCCTACTCCAGGGGATCTTCCCAACCTAGAGATCGTACCCATACTTCCTGCGTCTCATGCATTGGCAGGTGGATTCTTTACCACCGCACCACCTGGGAAGCTCACAGGCCTCCTAGCCAGTAGCACGGAGGCCAGCCCGACATGCATCCGGCTCGCATTTCCACTTCTCAGGTGGGTGAAGGAAGGGCAGCTGGTCACCGGCCCTCCAGCCCCACCGCCCTCTCCCAGCGCAGGGCGGCTACTCACGGTGACTTCCTTCCCCAGGCTGACGGAGGCCAGGACGCGCTTCATGCCCTCTCCGCTTCCAATCTGCCAGATCAGGGCTTCTGCAGCTTGGTTCTTCAAGGGCCAGTCTCTGGCTTGCAGCTCATACCAAACAGTCCTGTGGAGACCACCGCCCACACGGCATGAGCTCCTGGACAGCTCTGCTCAGCTCACACTAGTGGGGCGTGGGGGTGGGGGTGGGGGCCCCCTGCTGCCATGATGCCCGGAGCCCAGCCTGAGGACCCGGGACTTGGCCCACCTTCCTCACCCACCAGGCTTCTGGGACCACCCTGAGTGCACCCGGGGCCCTGTGCTCCCAGTGTGGTGAGAAGTCTGAGACACCGCCACTCTGGACAGAGGTCCTGGTACAACCATTCAACCTCAGTGGGGTGGGCACCCTCTGAGGAGTGACAGGAATGCCCAGCCCTGGGCCTGGCACACGCAGGTGCTCAGGAAATGACTGACAGGTCAGGGCAGGAAGAGACCACCCATGAGGAAAGGATCCCCCCAAGAGATTATGGCATGGGGCCCTCACTCTGACCCTCCAAGTCCCCTAGCCTTTCTCAACTTATCTGCACGGGACCATCTCCATTAGACCTGCCCTGACCAACACAGTGGGTGGGGTGGGGGTGCGTGAGGATACTGAGTAACTCAAATGTGGGGAGGGGAACTGAGGTGTAAAACACCAAATTTTTTAAAGCTCTGTGGCATAAAATATCTCCTGAATTTATTCTGATTACATGCTGAAATGATTATATTTTGGCCACACTGAATTAAATATGTATTGAAACTGATTTCACCGGTTCCTTCCTTAATGTGGCTAAGGGAAGGTTTTATGCATCTGGCTCATGTTTTATTTCTACATTTCTGTGTGTCTATCTGCCAGCTCTTCTTGGGGCACAGCTGGAAGCTGCCCCCTTCTCCCAGAGGGACAGCTCTTGGTTAGCTCTGGAAGCTGCCCCCTTCTCCCAGAAGGATAGCTCTTGGTTAGCTCTGGAGACTGTCCCTGGGGAGCAACAGGTGAGAAGGACACCCAGAGTTAAGCATTTTATGCGTGTGTGCTCAAGTCGCTTCAGTTGTGTTTGACGCTGTGCAACCCCATGGACTGTAGCCCTATAGGCTCCTCTGTCCGTAGGCATTCTCCAGGCAAGGATCCTGGAGGGGGTTGCCATTTCCTCCTCCAGGGGATCTTCCTGACCAGGGATCAAACTCGCATCTCATTAGGTTTCCTCCATTGGCAGACAGGTTCTTTTCCATTAGCACCACCTGGGAGGCCCCTTAAGTATTTTATACAATTACCTAATTCAGTCCTCATGAAACATCTCTACCAGGAAGGAGCTCTATTCATCCCATTTTACAGGTGGGGAAAACGGAAGGTCAAGGACATGGTCACTGGCCCAAACAAGCAGCTGAACCAGCCTCAGAGCACACCCCCCTGCCCCCCAATAGCCAGCAGGACCCTCTGTTTCAGCCACAGTTGGCCTCTGAGCCCCAGGAAGAGGGACGCCAGGCGCCTCCTCACCCGAATGCATAGACGTCAGCAGCTTTGGAGAAGGGCAGCTGGTCCTCGTCCTTCCCAGGGGTCATCTCCCGCACGATCTCGGGGGCCAGGTAGCACAGCCAGTCATGTGACAGCTTCAGCTGGTTCTCACGCCTGGTGGCAAGAAGTCAGGGCAAGGAGACGGCCTTGAGTGGGCAGCAAAGAGGCCCGCAGGGCACGCGTCTGCCCCAGGGCTGATCTATGTGTGTGCTCAGTCATGTCTGACTCTTTGCAACCCCATGCATGGCCCAGAACAGCAGCACTTGCCAAGGCACCTGTGCTTTGGGGGAATGTTACGGAGGAGTGATAAGCAGGTTCTTTGAGAATAGCAGGCCAAGGACAGCATTGGCCGGGAGCTGCTCCTGAGGGCGCCGATTCTCTACCCTGGAAGAGCAGAGGGCATCTCCGTGCAGGAGACGGGAACGGCCTATGGGGCTCACAACCTGGCCTGGGGCTGGCTCTCCCTCCTGGGGTCCTGAAGCTGGGGGAGTGGCCTTTCTCCTTCAGGATTTGTGGAACTAGAACCTGACGTTCCTCCGCACGGTGGGGATGGGAACTGTGGTCCCCTGCCCAAGGCAGTGAGCATACGGGGAAAATGGGGGTGAGGGGACCCAGCCTCCTCAGCTGTCAGCCTGAGAATTAAGCGCTATGAGGGACCTCAAGGTCACCCAAATCTGATTCTGAACCGGAACCACAAGGGCAGGAGCAGAGCAGACCTGGCCTTTCCTATAGGGCGGGCTGCCCCTCGGCCACCGTCGGCAAGAGTGCCCAGGCCTCAGGCCCAGCAGCACTGCCCCAGTCTCTCTGGACGCCCAAGGCCAACTGACCGTCCCTCTCGCACGACACCCGAGATCCCGAACAGCCCGAAGTCTGTGATGACCACTTTGCCGTTGTCGTAGAAGACGTTCTTGGATTTCAGATCTTTGTGCACGATGCCCTTGGCGTGGAGGTACCCCATGCCCTGGAAGACAGACAGCCTCACGTCAGGGGCAGAGGGAAGATGGACGATGATGGCTTAGCTTTTACCCTGGGCCAGGCCCTGAGCCAGAGACCTTACCCCAGGCCCCTCATTTAACCTTTGCAACCCTATGCAGTGTGACTGTCTCCTTTCACAGAGGAGGAAACCCAGCCTCAGAGACAGGAAGTCCCTTGCCCTGGGTCACACAGTGGTGAAGCAGCACTGCTGAGATCTGGTTCCAGGCCAGTCAGCGCTGCTGCCGTGTCACCACGCTGCCCGACATCCACCTTATACTCAGATGAAGTGTAGAAAGGGGGAATGGGGGCTCTGGGGGAGGGGTGGTCAGGAAGTATATAAAGGTTCACTGTGATGCTACCCTCCGTTTTTGTTTTCTTTCTTTTTTAATTTTTTGGCCATGTGGCATCTTAGTTCCCCAACAAGGGATCAAACCCGTGCCCTCTGCATTGGAAGCATGGAGTTTTAACCATTGGACCTCCAGGGAAGTCTCTACCCTCTGGGGTAAATCATAGAAGACCCAAGGGTCTAAGGTCTCATCAGGCTTTGCACGGCTAGCCTCACCTCTCAGGCTGAGCAAAGGCTTGGGGTGGGCCTGGGGACAGAGCGGAATTCCCACAGAGGGAGTCCCCGAGCTCAGGTGGTCCCGCTGCCTGCGCTGCCGTAGAAGTCCTGGACTAAGACTGAAATCCAGCCCAGATGATTCTCATTCACTGTGTGGCCTTGGACTCGACTTCTGAGCCTCAGTTTCCTCATTTGCCAAGTGCCAGGTCAGGGCTGGGGGATTTCAAACCAACGCCCTATTTGCACCAAACGCTGACTGGCCAGGCACGCGGGACGTGGGTGACCTGATGCAGGCACGCTCTCATCCGAGGCCAAACCGAGGACTTCCGGGTACCCTGATGCGCTTGGGAACAGCGAGAGGGGTACGCGATGCCACAATTGAAGTGGGCATCCTTGCCAGGTCAGAAATAGGCACATGCAAACCCACCTCCCTACCTCCCACATCAAGGGTGCCTCACACGAGAAAAATCTCCCTGCCTTCACAGGTATCTCGGGGTGAGGAGGGGAGAGGTCAACAACAAGCCCCATTGAGGAAGAGAAGGAACAGACTGCAAGGCAGAAGCAGACAGAACTCAGCCGGCCCCAGAGCTTGGACCAAGTGGGGCCGGAGCTCATCAGAGAAGAATGTACACAGGCAGATGCTCTTCTGTAAGAGACGGGAGGCCGTGGGGTTCACCGTGGCCACTTCCCTCAGGCCTACTGAGAGCTGTCATCCCACCACGGAAGCTGGGAATTTTCAAAAAGGGTGACTTACTCTCTCCCAAAACTCCACCCTGAATGTAAGACGATCCCCCTTAAAATATCTGCCCACTTCCCAAACCAAACCAAGAGCCAAAGACCACACCTTGGGTTGAACAGGGACCTGCTGTGTGACCGGGGATAAGTGGCTGCACCTCTCTGAGCCTTGTTAATAAAACAGGTGCCACAGCCTCAAACAGCCAGAGATAAGATAGAAAGTGCCCAGGTCTGCAACACAAACTCTCCTCCCTTCCTATAATTTCACAACACTTCAGGGGTGGCCCCCCAAACCCTCTAACCAAAGGTCTGCTGCTGCTGCTGCTAAGTCACTTCAGTTGTGTCCGACTCTTGCAACCCCATGGACGGCAGCCCACCAAGCTCCCCCATCCCTGGGATTCTCTAGGCAAGAATACTGGAGGGGGTTGCCATTTCCTTCTCCAGTGCATGAAAGTGAAAAGTGAAAGTGAAGTTGCTCAGTTGTGTCCGACACTTCACGACCCCATGGACTGCAGCCTACCAGGCTCCTCCGTCCATGGGATTTTCCAGGCAAGAGTACTGGAATGGGTTGTTGCCAAGGCCTTCTCCGAACCAAAGGTCAAGACCCCATTATTATATTTTGAGCCTCAAAGTATCAGAGATGCATACAAAAGGAAGTGGCTTAGAAGTTCCCAGAAGCAGGGGGATGGGGAAAATAAATGAGCCAGCAGAGAGCTTGCTTCTGGCTCTGCAGCTCCAAAATCTTTGAGCAGCTTCTACCCTGGAATCTTCCAAATGACTCATTCAGCCGAATTCAGCCAAACTCAGCACCCAGACTCCCCCAATGTCCTGACAATAAGGAGACACAACAGTTTGGGGGAGCAGGGCCTAGCAGGTCTGGGGATATCACAGAGTAGGTATAACACTGCAGCTCCCCTCAACTTCTCTGTGATGAGACAGACTAGAGATGAAGGCATACATGTGATATTTTGGTTTGGGGGGGGCTGCAAAAGTTTAATGCTTTCATTTGTGGTTGTGTAGTCGCTAAGCTGTGTCTCTCTTTTTTTGTGTGACTCTTTTTCTGATCCCATGGACTGTAGCCCACCAGGCTCCTCTGTCCATGGGATTTCCCAGGCAAGAATGCTGGAGGGGGCTGCCATTTCCTTCTCCAGGGGATCTTCCTGATTCAGGGATTGAACCTGCGTTTCCTGCATTGGCAAGTTGATTCTTTACCACTGAGCCATCAGGGTAAGCCCATGCGTTCGTTTTGCCATATGGAGATGTCATGGAGAAATCTCGGTGTTTCTAAATGTCACTGAGCTTTTTATCTTTTCCTTTCCAACGATGCGCACACGTGATGGATGGAAGGAGGGAGGGAGAAAAAAAGAAAAGCAGCAAAACTGAAGACAGGACAGGGACAAAAACTTGGTGGGAGCTGGTTTTGCTTTTCTGCAAAAACAAGAACCAGGAAGAGGAAGCCCATCCAGCCCTGATGGAGTTTTTCTCAGACCTTGTCTGCTGCTAAATAAGGAAAAAAATAAGCGTTTCTTTCACTTTTGTTTAATTACTTGGAAAAGATAGAAGCAAAAAAAGAAAAATGCTGCCTGGTTTGAGCCTGAGGGCTTGTCTGCATGAAACTTAGATTCAGAAACCTTAAGGCAGAACACTGGCCCCAAGCCTGAATCAATTCTAACAGACTCTCACCAAGCGCTAGTGGCCCAGGGCTCAATGCTCTCTCCACGGATTATCCCAGTTTATCTTTGCACAAATACAGTGAGGGAGGTGACACAGGCAACCCCATTTTACAGGGGAGGAGGCCAAGGCTCAGAGAGGCTAATCAACCTGCCCGAAGTCACACAGCTATATCTGTATCAACAAGATTCAAACTCAGGCCATCTGTCTTTAAAGCCCACTGCATTTCTCCAGTGTGTTCAACTCCCAGCAGACAAGACAAAGAAAGAGGGAAGGAGATGGGGGTCCTACCCATGAGGCACCCCAGCCAAAGAGGGAGACAGAACAGCCACCACCGCCAGCCTGACGCCGGCAGATGGATCGGGGGACAGCTAGGACCTCTGGAACCTTTACCTTAATGATCTCCTGGGCGATCTGCCTGGTCTTGTTGATGTCCAGAGATGTCTTGGGGTCCCTCACGAACGAGTGCAACGTCCGTCCCTTGCAGAAGCTGTGAAGAGTGGAGGGTCAGGCAGAGATCTGGGGCCCCGTGCAGCCTGACCTCAGCCCTTGGGGAACCGGGGAGAGCTGTGCCCACCAGCTCCATCCCTTGGACCCTGGGTGCCAGAATCCTTCTTGACCAGCCTGATGCCATTCCTTCTTTGTTTTATTTTGGTTGCACTTCATGGCACATGGGGACCAGGGATCGAACCCTGCCTTGTCATGGAAGCACTGTGTCTTAACCACTGGACCACCAGGGAAGTCCCCTTGATGCTCATTGCTGCAGGGGCCCGGCCTGAATGGGCAAGAACACACATCCCCTGGGACCTCTAGCCCACCCACCATAGAACAGGAAATAGTTCACTAAGTTATGTTTAAGGATTGTTCAATCGTGTTCAACTCTTTAAGATATACAGTCCATGGAATTCTCCAGGCCAGAATACTGGAGTGGGTAGCCTTTCCCTTCTCCAGGGGATCTTCCCAACTCAGGGATTGAACCCAGGTCTCCCACATTATGGGCAGATTCTTTACCAGCTGAGCCAGACATTCAGAGCAGTCTACCTGTTCTCGTGGTTCGAGGCAGGAACTCGCCCACTCAAAGTCACCCAGGGAAGAACCTGGCCTTTTCAGGTATGACCGGGCAGCATCAGGGCTCTGGGAGCTCCATAATGACTTTCATGATCGTGCTGTTTTCTGATCACGGGGTTTTTAATGACAAGGCAGAATGTGCCCTGGAGCAGGGGCAGGGGCGGGGGTGGCTATCGGGGTGTCAGAGTGATTATATTAGATAAGGGGCTTGTATGTTGGAATCCCTACCTATACTGACTCCTGAAACCTGGAGTGAGGGACTTCAGTGGTTAAGAATCCGCCTTGCAATGCAGGGGACTCAGGTTCGATCCCTGGTCAGGGAACTAATATCCCACAGGCCATGAAGCAACTAAGCCGGCACACCACAATGAAAGATCCCGTGAGCTGCAACTAAGACCCGACACAGCCAAATAAATACATAAATATTTAAAGCAAAACCTGGAGTGAGGAAGGACTTAGACAGAATGGGTCGTTTCATTGCCGCTCCAGGGAGAAGTTGACTTAAGCCATCTGAGGAAGGGGCTAGTTTTTAGGAACCGTCTCCAACGAGATAAGATTCCTCGACCTTCAGGGTCTGGAGTATCGGTTGATGGTTACTTTTCCATGTTCCAGCCCCCTCAGCCATGTTAAATGTTTTGTTAATGTTCTTTTATTCTTTTACTGTATGTGCTAAATAGCTTCAGTCGTGTATGACTCTTTGTGACCCTACAGACTGTAGTCCACCAGGCTCCTCTGTCCATGGGATTCAGCGGCCAAGAATACTGGAGTGGGACGCCATTTCCTCCTCCAGGGGATCTTCCCGACCCAGGAACTGAACCCACGTCTCATGTCTCCTGAATTGGCAGGCAGGATCTTCACCACTAGTGCCACATTCCCTTTAAGCAGACTCAGATCTCTCACGGGACTGGGTGGATGAGAGAGAGACGGAAGGCTGAATGATGGACAGCGCTGAGGCTCGGGTCTGAGAGATGCTGAGAGTCTCCTGCATTGGCAGGAGAGCTCTTTACAACCAGTGCCACCTGAGAAGCCNTAGTGCCACATTCCCTTTAAGCAGACTCAGATCTCTCACGGGACTGGGTGGATGAGAGAGAGACGGAAGGCTGAATGATGGACAGCGCTGAGGCTCGGGTCTGAGAGATGCTGAGAGTCTCCTGCATTGGCAGGAGAGCTCTTTACAACCAGTGCCACCTGAGAAGCCCTTAAAAACATGAGTGATACAAATGCCTTGATTCGAATGGAAGGCATGATAAGGAACTGTTTACAGTACCCACCTTTTTACAGAAGCACCCAGGTAGGGTGGGAGGAGACTGGTTTTCACTTTGTACTTTTCCGGACCATTTGAATTTTCTCTGTCTTTAGGTATCCTTTCATTTATTTATTTATTTAATGTCAATGGGGTTATATGATGGGGAAGTTAAACTCCATTTTGGGGGTTTCTTCTTTTAAGATTTTTTTTAAAATTTACAATTTTTAAAGCCTTTATTGAATTTGTTACAATATTGCTTCAGTATTTGAAAATTTGTTTTTAACTGGAGGGTCACTGCTTTACAATGCTGTGTTGGTTTCTGCCATAAAGCACCGTGCATCAGCCGTAAGCATACATATGTGCCCTCCTTCTTAAGCCTCTCTCCTACCCACACTCCATCTCACCCCCTAGGTTGTCACAGAGCACCCGGCTGAGCTCCCGTATTGCAGAGCAACTTCCCATCAGCCATCTATTTCACACATGGTCGTGTATATGTGTCAGTGCTGTCCTCTCAATTCGTCCCACCCTATCCTTCCCCTGCTGCGTCCACAAGTCTATTTTCTATGTGTCTCCATGCCTGCCCTGCAAATAGGTTCATCAGGACCGTTTTTCTCGATCCCATATATATGCATTAATAGACAATATTTGGTTTTCTCTTCCTGACTTACTTCCCTCTGTGTAACAGGCTTTGTCTTTTTGGCCCTGAGGCATGTGGGATCTTAGCTGCCTGACCAGGTATCGAACTCGCACCTGCTGCACTGGAAGGCGAAGTGCTAACCCCTGCACAGCCGGGGAAGTCCCAGCTTTTTCCTTTGGACCGCTCTACAAGAAAACGCCCTCCAGCGGCATGCAAATAAGCAGGCCCCCGGGGAAGGGGCGGGGGCGGGGCCTGGCTACCTGGTGATGATGGCCAGGTGGGGCGGGTTCATGCAGGCCCCCATGAAGAGCACCACGTTCTCGTGCCGCGTCTGCCGGTAGTTCATCACCTCCTTCTTGAACAGCTTCAGGTGGTCCTGGTTGTGGCCGTCCATCTCTAGCAGGCGGATGGCCACCTCGCCGTGCCAGCGGCCGCGGTGCACCCGGCCCCAGCGGCCCTGCCCGATGGGCTCACCCAGCTCCACCTGCTCGAAGGGGATGTCCCACTCCTGCAGGTACACGCTGGTCTGGCTGGCCTTGCGCGAGATGGGGCCCCGCCAGGGCCGGCGGGAGGTCGGCAGGTCGTCCACCTCGTCCTCGTCGTCTTCGGCCTCTGACTTGCCGGCCTCAGGCTCCTCGGCCTGGAAGGAGAGGAGGAGGGAATAGAAAGGGTGGCAGACCTGGGGGCTGGTGACTGCCCTCCCCCAGGACCCCCACCAGGTCGGGGAGCAGAGGGGTCTGGGGTCAGGAGGCCTGGGCTCTAGTCCCAGCTCTGTGCAGATTTCATGTGCGAAGCGGACGGATCACTCAGCACCACACGGTCTCAATGTCCTAATCCACAAACTACGGAGCGTGGCCCTTCTTCCCGCTAATGTTCCAAGATGCACCTAGGAGCAATTCCTAATCGCTGGGGAAGAACACTAACACTCACCCTTCTGGATATGCTTTTATATTTTTTTAAAATATTTATTCATTTTATTTATTTGCCTGCACCAGGTCTTAGTTGCAGCATGTGAGATCTTTTTTTCTGTTCTGTTTTTAGTTACAGCATGCAGGAGTTTTAGTTGTAGCATGCGAACTCTTAGTTGCAGCATGTGGGATCTAGTCCCCTGACCAGAGATCAAACCTGGGCCCCCTGAATTGGGTGTGCAGAGTCTTAGCCACTGGAAAACCAGGGAAGTCCTACGCTTTTGTTTAAACAGTTTGAGACTCTCCTCTGNCTGACCAGAGATCAAACCTGGGCCCCCTGAATTGGGTGTGCAGAGTCTTAGCCACTGGAAAACCAGGGAAGTCCTACGCTTTTGTTTAAACAGTTTGAGACTCTCCTCTGTGCGCTGTGCTGTGCTAAGTCATTCAGTCCTGTCCAACTCTTTGGGACCCAGCCCGCTAGGCTCCTCTGCCCACGGAATTTTCTAGGCATTTCCTATTCCATAGGATCCTCCCGACCCAGGACCAAACCCATGTCTCTTGCATCTCCTGCTTTGGCAGGTGGAGTCTTTACCCCTAGCACCACCTGGGAAGCCCATGACTCCTCTGGGCAAGAGTAAATCAGTCTGTTGAGGCTCCATAAGCCACCACACTTGCCAGGCGCAGGTGACCCTGGTTCAGGGGTCAAGGCAGCAGTCCTTGGCCCCAGCTACAATTAGAATCACCCAAGAATCTTTGATAACATCCAACTGCCTGGCCCCACCCCTGACTGAGAGAAAGTCTCCTGGGCTGAGGCCCAGGCCTCTCAGCTGGAGGTGGAAACCACAGGAATGAAGCGCTTACTTCAGCCTCAAAAAACAGAAAAGCAAAAGGAAGCTTGCTTTGCAGCACTCCTCACTGCTCTCGCTGCCTTGCACACTGCCCACGTCTGCTGCAGCAGGTGGGCACCGGGGACGGCGCCCGCCAGAGCCGGCAGCCCACGCACTCCCAGATGCCTCCACGCGCTGAGCCGGGGAGAGAGGAAAGAGACGCTCCGTCTACGGCTCGCGTGTCGCTATCACTCACCTCCACTTCACGATCTTCCGACACATCTGCTTTTGGCTGGTCGTCGAGCCTAAGAGTAAAACAGGGTTTATCAAGGAGGACTCAAGGCCGGGCAACTTGGCTCCCAGCTGGGCAGGGGACGCCCCATGTGAGGTCTGAGAAAGGGGTGCCAGGCCTGGACCCTTCCTTTGACTCACTTGGCCACAGGGGAAGGTGATCTGGATACTGTGGAAACATACAGCAGGCTGAAGGACAGACCCCACTTCCCTTTTCTGGCCTTGGCCTTCCCCAGGCTGAACTTGAGGGTGGTGCGGGCCGAGGGGGGGACAGTGACCATCAGGGGCCTTTCAAATCTGACAGCTAATATGAGGTTCCGAGCACAGGCACAGGATTTGGAATTCTACTTGGGGACTGCGTCCATTACTTGCTAAGCTGTGTGACTTAATGCAATTTCTTAACCTCTCTGAGCTGATTCCCTCATCTGAATGTCAAGGATGACACCTACTTTACACCTGACTGAGAACTCTACACAACAAGGTAAGTAAAGTGCTCGGCGTGGCCTGACCGAGAAGGGCTCCTTGACGCCCAAGGAGTGTCATGAACAGGAGCTGTATTATCAGACTTCTCTAAGGCTGAGTGCCCTTCGCCCAGCCCTCCTGGGTCACTAGACAGCTCCTGTTGCACAGGCAGCCCACCCAATGCTGACTGCACCGACAGGGCAAATACAACCCTGTGGCTGAGTTAACTGGATCACAGGGTGAATTAGCCCAGGGAGTGCTCCATCTGGCTGCCCAGGTCCATGGTAATTAGAGGGTCAGAAATTGAAACGTGGAGGTGGAACACGGCCCTGCACAGGGAGCCCTGCCCAGGGTTATGCGGCAGCCTGGACGGGAGGGGTGTTTGGGGCTGGGGGTTGGAGAATGGATACACGGAATATGTATGGCTGAGTCCCATTGCTGGCCACCTGAAACTATCACCACACTGTTCATCGCCCATACTCCAATACAAAATGTAACAAAAATATTAATAAAGGTAGGTGAAGGAGGTGGTCAGGGATGTGGGTCCAGCTTTAACAAGTCCCCAAGGAGGAGAAAGTGCACGATGCCTACCGGGAACTGTCTGCTCCATCGGTGAACGGCGCTGCCTGTGGAAATGCCGAAATATCTGGAGGAAACGGAAAAAAAATACGAGGCATGAGACCCGTTCCCACTGCCCCCGGAGACAAGGGCAGAGGTGCTTCCCCAGCAGCCCCTCCCTGGGCCGCACGCGGGCTCTGGGGCCACTTCCACGAGCTTTTCCTAAAACAGAACGCAGACGAAGCCTCCACGGCACTTGGTTTTTCCCACACGGCTCTGCCCTGGGCACGGACTCCAGGCGGAGTGGAGGCTGAGACTTCTCAGTTGCTTGAGGCCCCTACAAGCAAGTGGTAAAAGCAACTGGGCTCCTACTGACTGGACGTGTGGGCCGGACCCTCCTCCTCACCGCTGAGGCAGGGGCTGCTGGCTGCAACAACCCTTGAAGGCGGCAAGACCCTCGGGCCAGCAGAGGCACAAGGCCAGACTAGCAGGTGGCTCGTTAGCGACACCGGGCGCCTGGCAGGCACTTTGGGTGGGAGCCAGAGGCCCCATCCCCTCATCCTCCAGCTTTGGTGGCTGGTGGACAGAAATGCACAGTCCACACATCAGGGACCCCGGGATGGGGCAGCTGGCACTGACCCCTGAGCCAGTGGCTTTCCCAGTTTCAGCACCAAAAGCCCCCCATCCAGAGAATACTGGACAGATGGTCACCCCAGCGTGGGGCCACTGTGGCAGAAGCCAACTCTCCCCGCCTCCCCATGGCTGCTCCTGCGGCCGGCTTCTCTCTGTTCTCTCTGGTCACTTCTCATTGCACTCGGAGAGGCTAGTAGCCTCAGGGCTGGGTGGGCCCTTCACCCCCTTTTGCAGCAAAAGAAGAGATTGGAGGTGGCGGTGGTTGGAGCTAATCAGGGCCTCTCCCTGTCTGCTAGAACAAGGAGAAATCCCATCAGCCAGCAAACCTCTCTCATCTCCCTCTGGACTCTCCGCAAGGCTATCCCTGAAGCTTTCTCTATATCTCTGCCTGCATGTTCAGTCATATCTGACTCTTTGAGACCTCATGGACTGCAGCCCACCAGCATTTCTGTCCATGGGATTTCCCAGGCAAGAATAGTGAAGTGGTTTGCTATTTCCTCCTCCAGAGGATCTTCTCGACCCAGGGATCAAACCAGCATCTCCTGCATTGGCAGGCAGGTTCTTTACCCTTCCAGGTGTACCACCTGGGAAGCCCTCTCAATATTTCTGGGACCTCACAGACTTGGGAGAGTCTGATAGAGGCCATGGGTCTTCTTATCAGAGAAATGCACCCAATATCCTGTGTGTGCAATTTCTGGGGAATCCTAGACCCCGCAAATCTCTGCCAAGGTTCCCCCAGAGACCACTACCTTGTGTCAGCAGACTGTCAAAGGCAGCCTGATGTTCCTACCCACCCAATGTGGCTCAGATGTTCCCACAGAAGAAAAACACATTCACAGAGACAGGGTGACATGGGGTAGATGGGAGTCTGGGGAGAAACAGCACCCCAAGTTGGAGGAGGCAAAGTGCCTCTGAAGCTTCACACTTTTCCTTAAATGTTAAGAGTGTAATTTGTATTCTGCTCCAAGTGTGTCCATGTTTGTTTTAATAGAACTGTATTTCCTTTCTCCCCCCACCCCCAACATCTTCAGAGCAAGATGGACCCTTCTAGCAGAAAAGCCACGTTCTCCCAAAGCTTTCAAGGGTACTCCCCTATATGTCAGCCTAGAGCAGTAACCAGGCAGGCTCTTGGAGGGGAACCACGGGAAACAATGGGTGTGAATCCACAGAGGCAGCTTAGGGAGCCTGGCCCTACCCCCAGCCGGCCTGCACAGCCTGAGAAGCCACCTATAAGAGCTGACAGATGCTCTCAGTCACTCCCCTAATGGAGCTGGGGTGGGGAATAGGAAGGCCTGGGATTACCAAAATACCATGACTTCAAGACAGGCCCGTTTAATCCAGGGAAAAACAACCTTCATGTGACTAACCTCAGAATTAAAGCCACAGATTACTTATACTATTGCTTGTCACCTCCAATTAGAGAAGTAAGTATTAAGGAGTATAAACTCCTTAGGGGCAGGAATATGGTCAAATGCAAAGGTTGGCACATAGTAGGTGTGCAAAACAATTTCTGTGGAAGGAAATTAATGAGAACGTCTGACTTAAAGTTTTCTTTCAACTTTCTGCACGGCAGGCATTTCCAACAATGGCCAGTAGATGGCGCCGTGCAGCAAGGCTCGGGAAGGAAAGACGGCCAAATAAATGAAGTCTGCAGACCTTCCCAAACTGGCATCCCCTTCTTTAAGAAAGGGTAGTAGTTTCCTTGCCATTATGTAGAAGATGATATCTTGTCAGATGCTCATAAGGCATCAGCAAAAGGTCCTCTCCCCTTATTCTGCAAACTGGGTTTCCACCTCTTCNGCCAAATAAATGAAGTCTGCAGACCTTCCCAAACTGGCATCCCCTTCTTTAAGAAAGGGTAGTAGTTTCCTTGCCATTATGTAGAAGATGATATCTTGTCAGATGCTCATAAGGCATCAGCAAAAGGTCCTCTCCCCTTATTCTGCAAACTGGGTTTCCACCTCTTCCTGGCTGTGACCCTGGACAAGTTGCCAGCACGCAGCCTCTGCAAAGAGGCAGGGGAGGGTGGATGCCCAGGGTCCTCGTGGAAAGGCGCTGCCCCTGCGAAGGGCTGGCTTCAAGGCTACTGACTCTGCCCCCTTGCCCACCCTCAACAGACAGCTCTCAGAGCAGATGGGTGTGAGACACAGGTCCTCAGGGAGAGAGCTGGACAGAGGGTCACAGCAAGCGACAGTTAGTGGAACCATGCGAAGGACTCACCTGGGAAGATAAACTGCTGTCTATGATGAATGAAGTAGGCAGCTTTAAACAGAAGAGGAAGTGAGTCACACACAGGATAGCAAACGCAGCTCAGGGAGCGGGAACAGAGGCAGGCGCTCGGGGAGAGGGGCTGGTTATAAGGCTGGGGCACCCCTGCCCCACCTGCCCTGTCACAGGTGGACCTGGCCAGGACGGGGCACTCCATGCAGGAAGGAGGAAAAGAGCTGGGAGAAAGTGGGTGCTGGCAGGAGCCCCCAGGAGTAAGGGGACTTGCACTGGAGGACTGGGGTTCGGAGACCCAGTCTCGGGGGCCACCCTGCTGCAGAGTCCTGGCCCATTCCATTCACCTCCCCAGCCCCCTTCTCCTCTGTGAACTGCGCATGAGCCCAGGAGGGCAAAATTGAATGGGGAGAAAAACCAAGATTCTGAAACACTGAACAGTGCTGTGTGCAGGAGAAGGGACAGTCTACCAACCCACGTTCACACCTGGAGTTACTGAGGCTTCTGCCACTCAATATCATCCAAAAAACAACCTTCCTCCAGGGTTAGCCTCAGACATACACGGAGGTGCTCCCGCACAGTATGGAGTGGGTGGACTATAGGAGGAGGTCCCATCCCACATTAACCGCCAGCCCAGCCCAGCCCAGCCCATGACCAGAGAGAGGGCTCCGTGCAGGGTACAACGCGGGCCCAGCCCGGGACATCAGGGAAGCTAAGAAGCTCTGGCTGATGTCACACAAAGGACTTTTTCAGTGACTCTTGTTTTTCCAACAGGCCCCTCCTTTCAGAAAAAGCCTTTTCTTTCCTTTCAAACTAGGAGGTTCAGCAAAAGGCCTGGTTTCAGAGCAACACAATGACAGAGCAGAACAGAGGAGTAATCACGTGGCCATCACTGGGTCGCAGGAGGGAGGGGCGGGCTTGGGACAATGCATTAGTGTCGGGAGATGGCCAGCCACATGCATGTTAAGGCAAAAAAGAAGAGATTCCTAAAAAATCTCACCACCACCCCCAAAAGAAATCCCTGGGACCCTGGGGAGATGAGGCTAGAGGGGTCCCCTGGCACAGGAAAAGCCATGCCTCTGTCCTCCTTGGCCTGGAACCCTGGGGACCGGTGACAGGTGGGGCCAGGCCTGGAGTCCACAAGCTGAAGCTGGCAACCAGCCTGGCTGGGCCCGGAGCAAACTGGGGCAGCCCAGCTGCCCTCCTTCCCTGAGCTTGAAACATGCTGAGGGCCGAGACCGGTTTCGAGGGACTGCCTGGGAGGCCAGGGCTGGGGCTCAGTCCTGAAGGGGGCCAGTGGGCTTTGTTCTGCTCCCTGGGGAGGTGGGACATGCCAGGCCTGGCTGAGTGGCAGGATCCCTGTCCCTATAGACCCAGGGCAGCCGGAACCATGGTCAGAGGTCAGCTCGGCTCTGGCACACACCCCTGGGTGGACTTCACGGCCTCACCCACAGAGTGGGGATAACCTAACTCCAGCCTCACAGAGTCTCTTGTTTTATAGAAAAGGGAACAGAAGTGCCCCCTTAAGCAGCTCGTCCAGACACAGAGCAGGTAAGCCATAGAGCCCCGGATTCCTTCGCCTTGGCCTTCTGGGCTCGCCCCAGGTCTCAGTGCTGCCTGCCCTGTTTCTCAGGAGCCCAGAAGCCCCAAGGAAGTGAACAATGCCCCTGAGAAGCCACCCCACACACAGGAGGGCAGCCTGGGGACTAGGTCAAGACCCAGGCTTTGCATCAGGCAGACTTGGCTTTGATCCTGGCTCTGCTGCTTACAGCTTGGGGTCAGCCACTTACTCCCTCTGAACCTCAGTGTCCCCATCTGTAAAATGGGTACAATCACAGCAGGTTTAAATATGGTGATACACTCAGTGTTCAGCTACTGCTCTTAGCGGTGGAGACGGTTTGGCCTTGAGTCAGCCAGGAAGGGCAGAGAAGGGACATGCAACCCCATCCCTCAGGCCCAAGAAAGCCCCAAGGTGTGGTACCTGGGAAGTTGAACCTGCCATCCCGCTGGCCAGGCGAGGGGTTGGGGGGCGTGGTGGCACTGGATGGGTTGGACGACGCTGGGAAGGGCGCAGGCGAGGAGGGCGTGGAGGACGTAGTGGAGGATGGGTTGCTGCTGGAGTCTAGGTGGTTCACGGCTGGAGGGTGCTCCTGCAGGGCCAGAGACAGGGGGCGTGGCAGGGACCACCCAGCCCAGCCTGCCCGCCCACCCCTCCCCGCCTAAAAAGGAGGAGGTCAGCCAGGGTGTCCTGGCATTTTACGGGTGTAACGTTAGAGGGAAGACGGCACGGGGAGACCTGCACCTCAACGCCTGACCCCTGCAGGGCTCCTCTCATCTTTCTCTTTTCAGCTCAAACATCCTTTCCTCAAGGAGGGCGTGGAGGACGTAGTGGAGGATGGGTTGCTGCTGGAGTCTAGGTGGTTCACGGCTGGAGGGTGCTCCTGCAGGGCCAGAGACAGGGGGAGTGGCAGGGACCACCCAGCCCAGCCTGCCCACCCACCCCTCCCCGCCTAAAAAGGAGGAGGTCAGCCAGGGTGTCCTGGCATTTTACGGGTGTAACGTCAGAGGGAAGACGGCACGGGGAGACCTGCACCTCAACGCCTGACCCCTGCAGGGCTCCTCTCATCTTTCTCTTTTCAGCTCAAACATCCTTTCCTCCAAGAAGTCCTCCCCCCTGGTGGGAGCCAGGCTCCCCACCACCCCGCTTTTATCCTCCCAGGGCCCTGAGAACTTTTCATCAGGGCACCTGAACTATGGTTTGCCAGCTGCAGGGGTCTCGGGTGGTTTTCTGAAGACTCTCTCCACCACACTGTGTGTGTCCCAGGAAAGCAAGAGCCACATCTTGTCACACACCCAGGGCCTAGCTCTGGGCTGACCATAGAGCAGGGTCCTTTAGTGAATTAAATTCAGCCTCTGACAAGTATTTATTTAGTGGACGGTTCACAGTGGGTGGGGCTTCCAGATGACTCAGTGGTAAAAGAATCTGCCTGCCAATGTAGGAGATACAGTTCGACCCCTGGGTGGGGAAGATCCCCTGGAGGAGGAAATGGCAACCCACTCCAGTATCCTTGCTTGGAAAATCCCATGGACAGAGGAGCCCGGTGAGCTACAGTCCATGGGATTTGCAGAGTCAGGCATGACTGAGTGACTGGGTGCACACACACAGTGGGTGCCTAATAAGTGCTCCCGCCACTCAGCAGGTGGATCTGCCAGCTGGGCCACGCAGTGGTGTGGACCCTCGCAAGGCCAGAAGATCCCCTGAGGGAGGGTCACGGGGGAACCGAGTCCATGTCTGGGGGACCATGGGCCTGACCAGTGTCTCCTAGACCAAACACCAGTTCCTCAGGGGGTGGGGCAGGCTGTTCGGTTCAAAAAAGTCGGGTCTAACCTGGGTTAAAAGCTAAGCTCAGCCGGTTTCTCTCTGGCAGGCCCTCAAGGCCCTGGGATGCAGGGGGGAATTTCGGAAACCACCAAAGCCACGCAGTGGGTCTCACTGTTCAGCGATGGCCAACACCGCCTGCTGCCAGGCTAAAGGAGGGGCGCTGCACCTCCTGAGCCCTCTGCCCCCTCACACACCACGCCCCAGACCCCGCATCCCGATCAGGCCAGGCCAGCCAGGGCAGGGGGTTTGTTTGAGGCAGGTTGAACCCCAGCCCAGGGTCAGCGGCTCTGTGACCTTGGACGAATCGGCCCACGCTTCTCAGCCACACGGTGTGTTGTCTGCATAAGCGGGGCATCAGCTGCGGCCTCACGGGGTTGCTCAGCGTTGAACAGAAACATTTCCTCGCTGCCAAGGCAGGCGTCAGGGGCCCGGCTGGAGCACAACCCCACAGCCCTGCCCTCCGCAGCACCCACAGGCTCCGGGCCTGCCTCTCACCCACAGGGAAACTCGCACGCAGTTTCTTCATCTCTAAAGTGGAAGTAATAAAAAATCCCTGGTGGTCCAGTGGTTAGGACTCTGTGCTTTCATTGTTGAGGGCACAGGTTCAATCCCCAGTTGGGGAACAAAGATCCCACAAGTCACAGTGTAGCAAAAAAAAAAAAAAAAAACTATTGAAAAAAAAGGGCAGTGACATTAGCATGTGACTTTTAGAACCATTGTGGGGAGCAGATGAGTTATCAATGGAGAAAATTCTGTCCCTGACGTTGAAGTACTCAGGAAACAGTGGCTCAAAATAGGGGAGGGTGCCACAACAACTGAAGCCCGAGAGTCCTAGAGCCGGTGCTCTGAAACAAGAGAAGCTACCGCAAGAGGAAGCCGGAGCACGCTCCACAACTAGAGTGGCCCTGGCTCGCCACAACTTGAGATAGTCTTCGCATAGCAACGAAGACCCGGCGCAGCCAAAAATCAATTAATTAAAAAATGGGGGGTGGGAGTGGGGGGTATTGTCACATAACAATGATTTGCACACAAATGTGAAACCTACACAATCGCTTAACATGAGATCCCCTCAGGCTACCCTCTGGCCGTGCAACCGGGTTGCAGCATCACACTTCCCTGTGGGACCACCACCCTGGGCGTGTGTCACAGACAGGAACCCTGGGCAAGAATTCTCCTGATATGTCTCCCACCTTCTTTGTCAGTGCTTTGGGGAGGGTTCCAAAGTGGGGTTCAGCGGCTCTGTCCACCGGATTGTTGATGTCTGAGGGCACGGATTCTGTCCTCCGAAGCTTGGGTACTGTTTAAAAAGGGGGGGTGTTAAACCATCAGCAGGGAACAGGATCAAGAAAGATGCACCCCAAATCCCGAAGGTGAGGGGAGAAGGGCAGGACACTCACGTGGAAGGAAGGATATTCTACAGGCAGGGGCTTCTTTTGTACACTTGTTATGACACTTCAACCTGGTGGAGAAGGCAGGGTCAGTGCTCAGAGGCACCACACGGGGCCCTAGGACACACACAGGGGTTTGGAGGCACTGCCTGGCAGTTCTGTACAACATTCAACCCTGACTGCCTCGATTCCCACAAATGTCTCAACAAACATTAGCTTTAGAGTGGAGAGCATCTTGTGTTAATAGTACTAGCAGCTAGTATCCATTAAGCACTGCCATGTTCCCACTGACATCTGCCTCATCGTCACAGCAAAGCAGGGTTGTTTTTTTTTTTAATTAGAGGGTAATTGCTTTACAAGGCTGCGTTGGTTTCTGCCACATATGAACATGAATCAACCACAGGTATACAGATGTTCCCCTCCCTCTTGAATCTCCCTCCTACCTCCCACCCCATGCCACCCGTCTAGGTGCAAACAAGTTTGATTTCACCCATTTTAACTTGCTGCAGGTCATACATCTATTTCTTTTTTCTAAACAAAAGGAGACCCTCTACCCACATTCGTAAAAGCTTGAGACAAATCTGAACTTCAAAGATGAATTAGAAGGAAAATATTTCCATTATCCAAGGATCCCAGGGAGGCCCCTCCTGCTACCTTCCTGCAAAGGCCACGTTGTCTGAGGATCACAGTGAAGGGAATGGAAAGAGCTGGATTGGGATTCTTGGTTTGGTTCTGCCTGCTGAACCCTCTCAGGGTTCTCATTGATCAAATGGGCTGACAGTTGGGGTCCTCCAACTTCACACTGCAACTACAGGAAAGCCTGGGGTTCAGAGGCTATCCTGTGCTCTCCGCATGAAAGGCATTACTTGAACAGGAGCTGGAGGCCCCTGATTTAAAGCCAGATGGCTGGGAGCCACCAAACACCTAGACTGGTGAGAAAGGTCTGACATCTCCTTTGCGTTTTCCTGTGGTTCTGTCCTAACCACAATTTATCCAACAGACACACAGGAGACCTATCACCTACAGTCTGGCGGGAGCCCAGATGCTTTTACTACACACTCTAGCTCAGAATTTTTTAGTAATCCTGATTGCAGAGAGAGACCTGGAAGACAAAAATGAGGCCCAGAAAGGGCAAGCATTTTGCTTTGGGTCACACAGCAATGCAAGGGCAAAGTGGACTGGCAACAGGCTTCAGGTCCATCATCTGTAAAGTGGGAGTAGCTCAATAGCAGGAAGCAGACTCTGCTCACCCTACTGTTCACTATCCTTGCCCTTTTTTCCCACCAGAAACCTCAACAGTAGGAAAAGGATTGAATTTATATAGAATCTACATTCTTCCCTCATTCTCTTCTCTAAATACCACAAGCCACTTTGTATTTACCACTCCCTGGCCCCATTTCCCGATTCCTTATGTGCTAACCTTGAACTTCAGAACTCCTTACAGTTTCCAGAAAAGTTCTGCCATTCCACTCTGCCTTTACACAAGGTGCTTTCTTGACCCGGAATTCTCTTTCCTCCTTAGTCCAGCTGGTAAACTTCTATTCATCCTTCAAAGCCCACCTCAAATAGTCCCTTCTTCTAACAATGCATTGCCTGATGCTTCCTTATTCTTCCAAGAGAGGGCTGATCACCCCCTGATGTGCTGAGATTAGGAATAGGTTTTGGAACTCTCAAGTGAGTTCCTTTGAACTCTGATTTGACCTGAGGCCAAGAACCAAGTAGCAAGACTTCCTGAACTGGAAGTATGGAGTCTGTGCCCCCCTCCCTCCTCTGCCGCCCTCCGCCCGTCACCTGCAATGCTTGCACTTCACTCCAAACATCATGCTCTTCTGGCACACGTGGCAAACCTGCGACAGCCAGGACTTGGTGGAGAACCTGCAGGGGGTGGACACATGCAAATGCTCAGAGAGGCCAGGATGGAGAAGGGTCCCCACAGGGGACCACAGGGAAACCAGGAGAATCGGTTCCACCCCAGACACCCGGGCGCCCTCTCAAGTGGAGGGCAGGGACACCCAGGGCCACTGCTTTCCCCAGGCATTCAGATTTCTCGGCCACAAAGTCTTCATTGCCAAAGCTGGTGTGGTCACCGATGCCAGCTCTCTGGCAGGCAAATTGGCAAAAGCAATCAAAATTACAAGTGCATCCATGGAGCAATTCCAGTCCCAGGAATTCATCCAACAGATACTCCCACGGGTGTCAAATGATGTCCTGACAAGGTGACTCACTGCAGCATGTTTGTGGCAGAAGAGACTAGAAACGAGCTATGTTGTTGAGGTGTACAGGTGACTGTATAATGTATAGTCCATGCACACAACTGAGCACCAAACAGTCGGAAAATAAAGTAAGGAAGCTCTTTTTATGCAAGTGGGGAGTGATCACTAAATTACAATGTCAGTGAAAAAAGGAAGGTCCAATGCTACATGACTCCATTTATTTGAAGTTCAAGTACAGGAAAATCTAATCTATGATGACAGAAGGGAATAGCATCTCTGGATGGTAGCACTATGGACTAAGAAAAGCCAAAGAGAACTTTCTGGGATGGGGATGTTCTGAATCTTCATATGGGTGGTGTACGTGGGTGTATACATATGTTAAGGATTTGTGTACTTAGCTCCATATAAATTACGCCTCAATTTTAAAAAGAAAAAAGCAAAGTATAGAACAGTGTGTATAATATATGCAATATTTTTGTGAAAATAAAAAAGGAGGCGGAAGAATTTACATATGTATTTGATTGTACAAAAATATCTCCAGGGGGACACATAGAAGACTGCCAAGATCAGCTTATGGGAGACACTGATGACAGCAGCGGGAGGGGACTTTTCTCATAAATATACATCCTCTGGAGGTTTGAATTATACATGCATTTCAATCCAAACTAAATTTTTTAACAATCCACAAAAGATACACTGAAAAGAAGGATGGGGATAGAGTGGGTGGTTGTCTCCCAGGAAAAAAAGTCCAAGGTCTGTTCACAAGATGGGGAGCCTAAGGGCAGAAAGAACTCACAGTTTTGGAGGACTAGATTTTTAAAAGCATAGGATATCATAGTAACAACAGAACAAATAGCAACAGGACTTGGGGAACAGTTTGTGATGCATCCATAAACATTAGCTCACTCCTGGGAGTGACCACCCCAGGGAGTTAGGCAGGTCAGGGATTCTGAGGACACAGGCAAGCAACCCAGCTCAGAGAGGTTAGGTGACTTTCCCAAGGTCACACAGGTGGGGTGCTGTGCAGCGGGGGCAGACCTCAGGTCTCTGAACCACTGGGACAGAAAAGGAGGGAAAGAGCCTGGGCTTTGTGGTCAGGCCACACTGGGTTTGAATCCTGCCAACTGCTGGCTGTGGGATGGGTCCAAGTCTTTGCAAAAGAGGCCAACACTCTCCCCTCTCAGGGCTTGAGGACAATCACGTGTGCCGTGTAATGTGCAGAGCCTGGACTGTGGGTGTGAACGTCACTGCTTCTCCTAGCCAAGATGGGAGCCTCCAGGCCTAGGAGAAAGTCACCCACCCCCTTGGAATGACGTTTTTGTTTAATATTTATTCATTCATTTATTTGGCTGTGCCGGGTCTTCAGTGCATCATTCGGATCTTTCATTGCAGCACAGACTCTCTAGAGTGGTTTTAGTAGTTTCAGGCTTAGTTGCCCCATGGAATGTGTGGTCTCAGTTCCCCAACCAGGGATCGAACCCAGGTCTGCTGCATTGCAAGGTAGATTCTTAGCCACTGGACCACCAGGGAAGTCCCTGGAATGCCTTTTAAGGAGCTCTGATCCAGCCTCTCTGGGATCCACACAGTCTCTCTGGCCTTTAATCTCCTGTTAACACGGGGGTTAGGGGAGCAGCTCAGTGGTTCTCAAGATGGCCTCCACTAGAAAATCCAGAAAACAGGTTGAAATGAGAGTTGGGGGCTCAGCCAGAGAAGGGGCAGGCGCTAGGGAGGTTTGGGGGTGTGGAGTAAGCATTATAAAATATTTTTTTCCCCTATGATTAGACCAAAATGCTTCAGAACTTCTTGCAGAGAGAGGCTCGGATCATGAATTTAAAAATCCAAGAGAGTGTGACCATGATGTCCCATACCCAAGCCCAGAGCCTGGAGCGGGGCGGGCAGGGCCACCTGGCGAAGCCAGACGATGGATGCTGCTGCGCGGGGTCCATCAAATCCTGTGAGACCAGGTGCGGCCAAGACAGAAATGAAACAGAGCAACCTGCTGATCCCAGTGTCCCTTACCTAAGTCAGTCTGCCTCGGGCCAGAGCCGGGGGGTTAACCACCAAGTGCTTCCCAGCACTGGGTGCATGAGGCTCACAGGCACGTCCCCCCTTTCATCCTCCCGACAGGACTGGCAGCAAGTCCCAATCGCAGAGAGGGAAACCGAGGCTGGGAGGGGTTCCTGGCAGGGAAGATGGCGCTGGGTGTGCTTGAGGGACCTTCACTCAGACGGCTTCTCCTGGTGCCAGGGACTCTCCTCCCAGGGGCTCTTGGGGACGGGCATCCAGGCCCTGCCAAGGCTTGGGACGGAAGTGCCTGGGCACCAGCCAGCGGTTTCAAGAGTGTCTCAGTGGCCGTGAGACCTCAGGCAAACTACTCAACCCCTCTGAGCCAAGCCTGCCTCACGGGGCGAGGATTCGGGGCTGGCCTTCCGCACAGGCCAGAGTGTAGCAGGGACACTCCAGGGGAAACCAAAGGCCCTGGCAAGTTGCAAGGCTCTCAACGAGCGTGCCTGGCCATGTTCACGACTTGTTTAATGGGGCGGCCAGAGGACAGGGATCCCAAAGGACTGCCCTGCTGGCCGTCGGTGGGGGGACAAGATGCTGCTGAGACCTGCTGTTGGCAGCACACGCCAGCCTCACGAGTGTTGAGGCTAAGGCCTCTGGGCGATCCATGTCATGGGCCCTCACCAGCCACACCAGCTGCGTAAGCACCAGTCCCTGGAAGTTGCGAGAATCCTGACTGGCAACCCAAGAAGCTTATAGATGGAGCCTGGCGTTCATCAAGCTCCACGGGGCTCTGATGTGTGGCCAGTTATGTCCATGNCATGGCCGAGGGCCATTTTCCTGAACCTGCCTCTAATCAAGACAGGGATGGCCAGGCGAGACCAAAGTGGGGCCAGTGTGGTTACCCCCACCCCCCAACAGATGCTACCACCTAGCCTCTGCAGACAGTTCAGAAACAGCCCCTGGGAGATTTCCAGCTTTGGAGGAAGACAGGCTTGTGAGGCAGAAGGCAATGCCAAGGTGAGGACAGCAGTTCAACTCCCCCCATCTCCTGCACTTCCTTGTGGAGGCACCCACAGGGCACCAATTCTTCTTGTTACGCAGGTAGAAGCTGCCTGACCCTTGGCGGAGGGGGTGAGGCTGGCAGCCATGCAGCACATCCAGCTCTCCAGGCAGAAGCACCTTGGGCATTTTGCTCTGAGAGCCACCACTGCCAGATCCCAGAAGGTAGAGAAAAGACAAGGTGAAGCTTCACACAGTCTCCTGTGGTCCAGCCCCAGCCAGGTACTCAGTCTGAGCCTTGGGGGAAGTCTTAGGCCATGAGCTTTGCATGCTTTCCAAGAGGGCACCCTGGCCTCTCTCTCCAGCCCTGGCTTCCTTATTTGAATGGGCATCCCTGGAGTTGGTGGCATAGTAGGTTGGGCAGTAGAAGAGCAGCTGGAAGCAATCTGTCATCCACTGGCAGCCAACGTTTAACTCCCTCTCCCCTCCTTCACCAGATAGACCCCCACTCCTCCCCATCCCAGCTTCTGCCCATACTCAATACTGCCTATCTCCTCCCAGAGCAGGAATTCTCAAAGGAGCCCACGGATGTGCTGCAGGGGGTCTGGGACTCTTCTGGACTGGTAAGCAGATGATGTAGGGCAAGGGTCCCCCATCCCTGGACTGTGGACTGGTACTGATCCATGGCCTGTTAGGAACTGGGCCACACAGCAGAAGGTGAGTGACAGATGAGACAGCAAAGCTTCATCTGCTGCTCCCCATTGCTCACATTATCACTGCCTGAACCATTCCCCTGCCCACCCCCACGCCACCATCATCCATGGTAAAATTGTCTTCCAGGAAACTGGTCCCTGTGCCAAAAAGGTTGGAGATGGTTGATGCAGAATTTTCCTTAGAAAGAAGGTCTAGATTTTTATCCAATTGTCAAAGAGATCTGTGACTCAGAAAGGTCGGGAACAGAGTGCTCTAGGGATCTGTGGCCACCTCACATCCTCTGAGTCAGCCCTCCACCCCATGCTGGCCTGGCACACAGCTGGTGCTCAATAAGTGGTGGTTCACTTAAAACCATGTACCAGATACCCAACCACAGGAGAAGGGCATGATGGAGGTACTGACTTCCCTGCTACAACAAGGGGAGTTTGATGGGGACCTCTGCCACCTGTTGATGGTTGAACTCACAATCTCTCCAGCACATCTGCCATGGGCCTGACTCCTCCCAACTCCCTTGTGGGAGGAGGCACCCCACCCCAGTCAGTAGCCAAGGCCATGAAATCATATGGATCTAAAAGGGTTTAGGCTGCCAGACTAGGAGAAACAGACAGTGGGAAAATGAGATTTTAACCATCTATCTCTGAAGATGATCTGTGATTGATTAGTAATGTCTGCCACAGGACTAGGCTAGGACATAGGTGAGATGAGGTGCTCCCTGATCCTGAAGACAACCTACAATTGATTAGTAACCTCTGCCACAGGCCTGGGACAGGACAGAGGTGAGATGAAGCTGTCTCTGATCATGAAGACAACCTACAATTGATTACTAATATCTGCCACAGGCCTGGGATAGGAAGGATATGAGATGATGCTGTCCCTGATGGAGGTGAAACACTGGTCCTAAAGGCCTCCTCTCACCTTCCAGGCAAACTGGGGAAGCAGCCTCACTGTTGTGGTCCCTGAGTCACTATAGCAACTGGGAAGATGGATATCCAGGGATGCAGATGCTGGATTCTCCTCCAAGGCTCTGTGAGGGGTCATGGGAGCTTCTGCCTGTGCCCTGGGGACAGGGAAGGGCAGTCTCCCTCCTTCCTTGCCCTACACCTCCCTGGAGGTCCTGCAGTCAGATCCATTTTGGCAAAGTCACTGTCGGTTACCCCACTCCACATCTCTCAGACCCTGCTGACAGCCTCTTCACTCTATTTACCCAGTATAGAATAGTACAAAAACAAGCTGCTATTTTGCTCAGGCAAAATCAGATGCCTCTGTATCTCCACAGAGACAATTAAAAGCAGACCTCAGAGGCTGTTTCTCTCTGCTTTGACTCTGGAGAGAGATGCCCCGGAGCACAGCCTCGTACAAGAATCAGTCCTCAACCCAGATGTGGAAAAGGGACTCAGAGCTTGCCTGGGCATCCTTACCACCCCCTCCAAGGGGACATCCACACCCTCTGATCTCTCAGGCCTCATTCAGAGATGATCACATTCCTGCCTCCAGGGATATCCCTCTCCTGGACAGGGTGGAGGGTCCCAAGAAGTCAGCTGGACCTTGCAGATGGCTACCGTCCATCTACACTGAACATAAGGGACCTCTCTCCCCGGAGCATGGCATCACCACGGCAGCTCAGCAGGTAAACAACTCCTGCCAGAGGTCACCTGTAGGGGTGGCAAAGTGCAAGTGGGGCCCACAGACGGTGACATTCTCATGGTGCCTGCTTCTCAGGGCAGCTGCAGGCTGGGCTGAACCACCTCATCATCTGAAGGTTCCCTGTCCTAAGAGCTACTTCCTGAGGCGCAGCCCAGCATCTCTGCTTCTGAACCACAGAAAGGCCAGGGAATAAGAGAGGGTCGAAGAAATCCACCCCCGATGGGGACAGCAACAGAAACAGGACTCCTGGGTGGCAGAGGGGATGAAAATGAATCACTCTTACCAAACCTGGAGGAGACAAAAAAGAGAGAAAGCGGGATTATGTCACCGTGCTGGCCTGGTGTCCCCCGGCACATCAGTCCTTGGGCAGGAGCGGATACAGTGCTTGGATGAGGACTTTGAGGCCCTGTGTGGGGACGGGCTGGCTGAGTGACTGGGGACTTTCCTCAATGACAAGGGCTAGAGGTAGCCCCCTCCCAACTCCTCATTGGACAATGGAGCCATACACTGTGCTTTAATACATGAGATTTCCTAGCCCTCACCAGCTACCTGCATGGTAATTAGAGTTCACTCCTTTTCACAGCTGAGGAAACAGGCTCACAATCTCCCAAGATCACATGCCTTTACGTGAAGGAGCCCTGCCCAAACCCCTGCTTGCTCGGACCAAGCAGGAGGGCGGCTCAGGGAGCCAGAGAAGTGGCTGGGGCAGGAGGCGAGGAGGACAGTTGTAAAAGCAGAGAGGCAGTCCCCAAGTAGGGCCTGAGCGACATCTCCTGGGGGTGCCGCTGTCCCAGGGACGAAGACAGCTGGGAGCCCAGGGCACTCAGTCCAGCCTCAGGGCTCATCGAGGGCGGCAGGGTGGTCTGAGTACTCGTGTCGGTGCCAGCTTTGGTCTTTGTGGAGACCTGACTCAGAATCCCAGGGTGCAAGGCCCAGCTCACCAGCAGTGGGACCCAAGGAAGTGGTGTCATCTGCCCGAGACTCTGTTCTCCACCCAGAGTCCCCCAACACTCTTTTCAGGGGGAAAAAAAATGAGAAAGAGAGGCACTGGGATGCCCTCTGAATGACCCACATCCATGTGTCCACATGGTTGTTATCACTGTGTTTCAGACAGAAGATCCAGGGGCGGATGGAAGGCTCAGCCCCTTTTGCCGGTCAGGGAGGAGGGAGGCCCCAGGCCCCAGCAGGACAGTCTGATCGAGAGTAGCAGGTAGGTCACAGCTAGATTTCTCTCCTTGGGTGACACACACTCAGAACCATCAGAGTTGTCCAAGGTCCATCCCACAAGGGACCCAAGAGAGCCTGCCCTGGGATGGGGAACAAGCCCACTTGAAACCCAAAACAACCATGTCAGGAGCGAGGCCGCGTTCCCCACCCTCAGAAGCACAAGAAGATAAGAGGCACCCAAGGAAAACTCCCCCTTCCCTTCCACAAGGGTATATAAACAAGGGCGATTTTTATAAAAGAGAAGGACAAAGACCTAAATATCCATCAAGAGGGGAGGAATTAAACTATACCCTGGCAAGAGGCTTTAAAAAGTTTAAAAGATGAGATAGCTTGAATAATTATAGATATATACAAAACTGATAACCTGGTTGGTTCCCGAAAGGAAAGGAAAAATGGTAGGGGACAACTTTAACCTCTACAAAGTTCTTTGTGAGCAATACTGGACCATGTGACTGTCACTAACTATTTAAAATACATAGATCAAGGGACTTCTCTAGTGGCCCAGTGGTTAAGACACTGCACTTTCAATGCAAGGGGCATGGGTCTGATCCCTGGTTAGGGAACTAAGATCTCACATGCTGTGGCCATAAAATAAAATACATAGATAAATTTTTTTATAAATAAATAAGAGAGTAAGGTAGTTCAAGATGAACTGATATTTAGTTCCCAGAAAGAAAAGTAAGTTGAAAAAATAGGTTATAGCATAGAGTACATAGTATTTGATAATCATTAGCAGTTTCAGCAAGATATTCTAGTTCCCCCTTCTGGGCATAGAGGAGGATGACATTTCTTGGTTCTTTTGTTTGGGTAGGGCCATAAATGGTGTAGAACTTTTGGGGAAAGAGCATTTAATTGCTCAGTTGTAATAAGTAAAGTTTTTTTTCCCTCTGCTACAGTGGGATGTTCTAGACAATGTTCTGGCCTTGAATCTGGAATGAGGCTGACTGGTGATAGACAGGAAGCATGAGCAAGAAATAAATCTCTGGTTATCTGAAGACCCAGAGACCTGGGGGTATTTGTTACTGCAGTATAACCCAGTCTATTCTGACTACTACATAGTATCACTTCGTGTCTGTGTGTGTGTGTGTGTGTACATAAAAAGATATCTAATAGAATTCAGCCCAAACAGTTCAGGTAGTCTGGGTAGCGGACTGAGAAATGGGAGCATCTTTCACTTTTTACATTGTAGTTTCTATGTTGGCCAGTTTTATCCTTTAAAAACCGAGCCTATATTACCTTTACAGAGAGAAAACTGTAGTCAGAACTTTCAGTAGGTGGCAAATTCGGCACCTGGCTGGCAAGGACACTTACCTCATCGGGGAGACCTCGTCAATGCGGTTCCCCAGCTGAGACTCGTGGGACTTGCTCCGGGTGAGCGTGGGGAAGCTGGGCAGCAGCTGGAAGACCTTGCGGCTGGGCGGGGGCGGCGTCCTGGGCGGCTTCAGCTTGGTGTGCCGTCGGAGCTGGGGCGTGGTCGGCGGGGTGATGAAGCTGGGCAGGGCGCGGGGGGTCAACCGGCCGCTGGCGTGCAGGGAGATAAAGGGGTCCGACAGGCCCTCACCGGGGCCGGGGTTTGGGGAGTCCGAGGCGGGCAGAGCGGACACGGAGGCGGAGCGTGGGCCCTGGGCACTGCTGCCCAGTCTGCCCAGCTGGGAGCTCCCCGGAGGCCAGGGCAGGCTGGCTGGCGAAAGGGTGTCTGCGGCAGGCCCGGAGCCACTTTCCCGCCGGGCATCAGATGAACTCCAGCCTGAGTCCTCTTTGTGCTCCCCGCCTGTGGGCCAAAGAGTTGAGTCACAGGTGGCTGCGGCCAGAGGGAGTCACAGGTGAGGTGGCCAGGAACCACCCAAGAAGCACAGTCCATCAGCAGAGCCTCCAGCTGCCAGCCGTCACCTATTTTATAAAGGCAACTCGAGCACACATGCTACCCAGCTGACTGTCAGGACCCCAGTGCAGATACTACTGTCCTCGACATACAGAGAAGAAAATGGAACCCAGAGAGGAATAGGGCAGGGCTCCCACCGGCACGTGTGTGGAGACCCACCCCCAAAGTGAGTGATCTCAGAAAGGGAAGTGGTGAGTGGTCTCTATGAGTTAGGCTACATAGGGACTTCCCTGGTGCTCCAGAAGTTAGGACTCCATGCTTCCATTGCAGGGGGTATGGCTTTGATCCCTGGTAGGGGAACTAAGATCCCATATGCCACTAGGGGTGGCCAAAAGTAAACATATAAAAAATAAAGGTGCATATGTTTGTTTGTTTGTTTGTTTTTAAGAGTTAGGCTGTAAAGGGATAACTCTCCTCTGAGAAAATTCAATCAACAGGAAAAGGGGCTGCACGGACCTTCTGAAAGCAAACTGCCGTGGGAAGTTGCTAGAAGAGAGACCCAGCTAGAAAGAGATCAACAGCCACTTCCTTTTGAGAGAAGCCTATGAGTGACTTTGGCTGCTCCCACGGCGACCCTCTGTCTGAGGCTCCCGAGGCCTTGGGGCTCTGAGGGCTGCAAATCAATGACATGTCTGTCCATTCATGCAAGCATTCACTGAATGCCGGATGTCAGGGCATAAAAAGGCATGTCTGGGATGCATGACGAGTCCAGCGAGAGTGATGGACACTCAGCTGGGCGTGCTGCATGCTGACACAGAGACGCATGGAGACTGAGGGAGTACAGAGGAGGAGGACCCTAAAGAGCTTGAGGGTCAGGGGGCTTTCTAGAGGAGGTGGCAGCTGGGCTGGGCCCGCTGAGCGAGAACTGGGGAAGGCGTACCCCGCAGAGAGGACAGCACGTGCGGGGAGCACAGGGCATCTTGCGGCAGCCACACAGAGTCCCAGGTGCCTTGAGAAGTCAGGACAAGCCAGGGAGAGGTGAGAGATGAAGCTGGAGGGTCAGTCCACTGGGGACCAGCTCCAGAGGGGCCTTGGATGTCTTGCCAAGGGCTTGAGGCTTGACCTTACAGGAAACGGCGAGATACTGAAGGGGTGGAGGCATGGAGAAAGGATGCCAGTCTACAGAGACCTTGTCGTGGGAAGAGGACACATCCCTCCTCATATTTATCAATGAGTGGAAAGCACAGGAGGGGAGATTTTGACTCAAGACAAAATGAACTTCCACCCTGTAATTCTTCAACTTAGCATGTTGAACCCTGTCTCCCTCAATCCACCCAGCAAGGTAAGGTTGATGAGATTCAGAGAGGCCATGTATACTGCCAAGTACACATAGCAAAGTAAGCAGTGAGATGAGAACTGAGCCCTTGATCTCAACCACAGCCCTGGACCTCCTCCCACAAAGCTACCAATTCTGAATAACCTGTAACAACACAGCCTTGGGAGTTAATGAGCTCTTTTATCATCAAAGGTGATAAAGCCCAGCCCACAGAGCCATCTATTAGGGAAGGTGGAGTGATATTAACCTTCCCAATTCTTAGAGTTTGTCTATTCCATCCTTTCATCAAATGCCCTTCCTTCTACTTCACTACATGGTGACTTTCTATTCATGAATCAACTTGGATGAGTTAGTCTGTATATTCTTTATGCTTGCTCCTTTAGAACTGTGGCCAAGACCTACGCATGCACGCGTGTTCAGTTGCGCCCGACTCTTTGCAACCCTATGGACTAAAGCCTGCCAGGCTCCTCCATCTATGGGATTTCCCTGGCAAGAATAATGGACTGGGTTGCCATTTCCTCCTCCAGGAGAACTTCCCGGGCCAGGGCTTGAACTCAGGTCTCCTGCATAGGCAGGCAGATTCTTTACCACTGAGCCACCTGGGAAGCCATGGTCAAGATCTACACCTAAACTTAAATACTGCTCTTGTTGAGGGAATGAAAGAATGAGTTCCATGGATCTATGCACAAGTCTGCCACCCAAGGAAACAAGCCCCCAATTCTTCAAATTGTCAATTTGGTCACCATTAGTTTAGCCAGCTCAGGGGTGGCAAATGGCTCCGGTTTTGCGTGCAGACACCAGTCAGTTGGCAGTGGCTGCTTGACAATGAGTCTGGAGTCACCAAGTAGGAAGAGCTCGGGGATTGATTAGTGATGTCTGCTATGGAAGACGGATAGGAAGAATCAGCAAGCATGATCCTCCCCTGTTCACCAGCCACAGGCATAAAGAAATATCCTTCATCACCTTTCTTAAGACCAGAGATGTCAACATTTGCCATCACCCCACAGGCCCAATACTGAAAAATACATACTAATATGTGCCAGGCTCTAGACTAAGTAGATGAACTTAATTAACTCATTTAATCTTCCAACAGTTCCATGAGAGGAAGTCTTGTTAGTATGCCCATTTTACACATAAGGAATCTCAGGCACACTGAGGTTAAGTAACTAGTCTGCCAGGTACCATGAAGATTCTGACTGCAGGATCTGAGAGACAGGGCGATCACAGGTACCACCCAGTCCCCAGCAGGTACACTTGAAGTGTGGCCACTGCTGGGCAGGCCCATCCACCTGCCTGCACCCTGGACTTGGGTGTGGCAGGTCCCTCTTGGAGATGGAGGGCACCACAAGCTAAGATGGAATGAGAAAGAGCACCTGGAAAGGACCCTCTGCCCAGGGCCTGCTCTGGGGCACTATGGGAAAAGCATCTTCTAAGGAAGAAAACAGAGCAAAGTCCAGCTCGACTGAATATTGGGTGTGGGATCTCACACAACTCATCCAGAGCCTCTGATGCTCCAGCTACAAAGGGAACATATAACAAGTGCTTCGTAAATTAGTGATCTTCCGATCCTGGCATTCAGGATGGACAGACAGCAGCCTTAACACACAGAGGTCACCACCACCCAGTGGCCAGAGCCTCCTCAACTCCTTACAACACAGGCATTAAGAGGAAGGACTGACAAGGTCCCCCAGATTCCCAGCTTGGGAGGCAGGTACTTTTTTTTGGCGGTTGTCTGAAGGAGACTGACAGCAATGGCTAAATTAGTCATGCCGCTAATTTACCTCCAGGGGTTTATTTAGCACATCAGAAATATCTTTTCTCTTGATATAAAGAAAAAAGACAATGAAACGTGCTTGGGCAGCAAGGGCTGAGGCTTGAGTCACAGTTCTGCCACCCACTGCTGTGTGTCCTTGGGTAAGCCCCTTCCCCTCTCTGGGCTCAGTCTCCTTCTCTGTAAAATGCAGAGATAAGAATGCTAACTATGTCCCTGTGCTGTTTACTTCCTGGCACTTGCCAGAAGCCTGATGTGTTGAGGTTTTCCAAATCAATTAAAAATCTGGACTCTGTGTTCAGAGGAAGACTTGATACAATGGGGCCAGGGAAGAAATTAAGCACCATCTTCTCTGGGGGGGAAAGAAAATCAAGCTGAATATAAACTTCAGAGCCTTCCTTAAGCTTCAGGCAGCTGGAGATAAGACATGAGTCTCAGCTAATTAAAAAATGGAGCTAATTCCATTCATTAGGTTCATTTTAAAGGCTTATCTGTGTGGTCATGGGAGCGGTAAGTCTGGGCATTTGAAGCTATTTCCAGGGTAAGACTGAGAAAGCCTGCAAATAAGCTCCTGAGGAACACTATTCATCATTCCAGGATTACACACATCGCCTGGGGCAGCCATGTCCTTACTCACAGCTGAACTGTGTACAGTTTCTGTCCGCAAGGGGCTGATGAGAAGGAAGCTAGGGAAGGGTCACAGAGCCCTACCTACCTCTGTAGGAACACCTCTGTGTTCCACAGAGGGAAGTCATGCAGCCCTGCCCAGCCTGGGGTTGGCAACAATGGCTAAAGCTTCACACTGGCCAGACCAGTGGGACCTGGGAGCCTTCTGTCTCAAGGGCCTCTGCCTCGAGTGGGGTCCATCACGCACTTTCTGAGCGTGGACTCCAGCCATTGCAAGCCGGCCCAGAGACCCTGGTCACACCGGCCCCACCCAGCTCCTCATCCATCCCAGCAAAAGCCCTGGTGCCCCAGGAGCCAGGCCAGGCCTGGCAGAGAAGTGCAGCATCCGGGCCGAAGGGAGGGCGAGGGGGCCAGCGGGACTGGCCCTACCTACCCAGGCCTGTCACCTTCCGCAGGCAGGTGAGGGCGTACTGCAGGCGGCCACACTCCTCGGCGCTGGCCCCGCAGCGCCGGAGCGTCTCCTTCACCTTGGCCTCGTTCATGTCCAGCAGGGCATCTAGCGTGAGCTCGCGGAGGATCTCCTGGGGAGGCACAAGACAGGCAGAGAAGTGGGTGAGCAGTCATCCTCCTCGCGGCCAGGCCCAGCCTCCCGCTGAGTGGCAGGGGCCAGCTGCTGGGGCCGGCCTCCGACCCGCAGCCACCACTTGTCTGAGGATGCCAGAAGCCAACGCCGGCCCCCACCCCCAGCATCCCAGAGAAAGCAGCTGAAGCCAAGATGCCAGAACTTGGGGATGGGGGCTGGGGAGAAGAGAAGGGAAAAACCAGAAATGTTCTGATGAGGGCATGTTGCCCTGTAGTCTCTTTTTATTTATTCCTCTGGACGGGAAAATGATGAATCATGACAAATTTGGAGAATGACAAGTACTTCAGATAAAGACGGTTCTTTACAATTTTGCTATATATGAATCAGACCAGATAGGATTCAAATAAAATTAGCTTCCAAGAAAAGGATTACAAAGAATTAACCCTCACCAAGATCTGTGTTTGGAGAAGGAAATAGCAACCCACTCCGGTATTCTTGCTTGGGAAATTCCATGGACCAAGGAGCCTGGCGGGCTACAGTCCATAGGGTCGCAAAGAGTCAGGCAGGACTGGGCAACCGAACAACACCAACAACAAAGATCTGTGCAGGTCTTTACTACCGGGCCTTATCTGATTCTCAGTTGGACTTTTCCAAGGTTTCAAGGTAGTCAAGGGTAGTGAGATGCTCGAAGCATATAAAGGACCCATTCAAACTCTGAGGATGGAGGGGGCCACATAGAAGGAAGAAGATGGCCTCGAGAGGACAGTGTCGTCCCCCACTGTCCAGCAAGAAGGGAACCTTAGATCTGAGGCTACAAGGAAGTAGATTCTGCCAACGAATGACCTGAAAACACTTGGATGTGATTTCTTCCCAAAGCTTCCGGGTAAGAAGCCCGCCTGGCTGACACCCCGACTGCAGCTGGGCAAGATGCTAAGCAGGTAAACTGGCTGAGTCCTCCGGGACTCTTCCATAAAGTCTTCCTTCTGCAGGACTGTGAGCTAACACATGCAGGATGGTGTAAGCAGCTAAGTTCATGGTAATTTGTTAGACAACAAAGAATACAAACACAGGGACTTCCCTGGTGGCCCTGTGGTTAAGAATCCTCCTTGCAATGCAGGGGTACGTGGATTCAATCTCTGGTTGGGGAGCTAAGATCCCACATGCCCCAACTAAGCCTGCACGCTGCAACTAGAGGGTCCATGCAGCAGAAGGAAAGATCCCGGGTGCCAGACTGAGACGCGGCGCAGCCAAACAAATAAATAAAAAATAAAATGATTACAGACAGCAAATATTTGAATCAAGGCCTAACTGACTCCAAAATTTGTGCTCTTTCCTCTCAACAAGGAGAGGGGAAACCCCTCCAGCTCTGAGTACTCTGAGTCACGTGTCATACAGAGCCTGAAGCAGACACACAGAACAATGGGACATATCCCTTGCCTCAAGTGGCTTGTGGAGTGACTGACGTGAAAATAAGTTATTACTGGGAATTCCCTGGAGGTCCAGTGGTTAGGACTCTGTGTTTTCATTGCCGAGCCCAGAGTTCAATCTGTGGTTGGAAAACTAAGATCCCACAAAGTGGCAAAAAAAAAAAAAGACAAAAAGAAGTTATTGCAATGTAATAAGATATGGACCAGCATAGAGAAAGCTCAAAGAGTTACGGGACCAGTGGAGAAATGGGGTGGGGGAGTGGAGCGGGGAGAAGTTGTCCCCTTTCTGTAGTTTCTGGATTTTCTGTAACAGGGAAAGCCAGACAACCCACATCAAATGATTCATATAAACTTGCAGTTCTTGAGAATCTAAGTTGATTTTCATTGATTTTTATTAGCAAATTGTGTCTAATTTAACACAAGCAATGTTGTGGTCATGGTGCTATAAATCTTAGACTCAAGTGTCAAAACAAAACCTGATGAAGATACCGACTATGAGTCATTAAGGCAATGGTTTGGGGACTTTGTGATGTCTGGGGGCTGGGGCCACATCTGAAGCCTGGCATGTGGCCTCTGGTGTCTGGCCTTGTCTCCTCTCCCCATCTTTGGTCTTGTGTGAATATTCTTCTATCTCCAGGGCTGTGGAAAAGAAATCTCATGGCTCTTTAGAATGACTCTAAAAATTAGAAATAAACAGATACCCCCAGAGCACCAAGAAGCTCATCAGTGGTTTGGACAAACCCTTGGCGGTAAGAAATCCTTCCAGATGATAAGATGAGAACATCACAGGAAACTCTTGATAAGAATAACACAGAGAGCAGGATACTTAGATAATAGTCCCAGGGCAGAAGCTTTTATTCAATCCATGTGTCTTCTTCTATTGCCTTCAACAATGCTCTTCATCAAAATGCAGTTTTGACATCTTTGCCCCTCATTTCACTGAGAGAAGCCACTTGGCAATACCAACAGGGAAGACCAAATGGAAGTGGACACTGTCCTTCACAACACAGCCCTCCACCTCTCCCCGGGGTGGCCTCTGTTCTCAACCACACGTGTGCATTTTCCCAAGGCTGTGATGACTCAGCAGTTCTCTCGAAAGGAGAGATTCCAGTATCTGCCTGATTTGGGGGTGGAGGTGGTGTTGATGACGACAAAGACAAGCCTAGGAACCCAATCCCCAATCTGGCTACAATGCAAAGGCGGATTTTTTTTTCCCTTTTATATACGTTTCCTCCCCACCCGCTTCAAGTTTCAGTTTCTCCGGCATAGTAACTACGCTTATTATTACAAACTATTTGCTAGCGCTTTACAAGATGTCCAGGGCTTTGTGTACTGACTCCACTCAAAACAATTCAGCAAGGAGATGCTCCTAAGCCTATTTTATTGAGGCTCAGCGACCTCATGCTATGCAGCTTAATAAATGACGGCGCCACAACCCAAACCCAGGTGTGTTGAGTCCCAAAGCACTTTCAGTTACTCCCACTGTCACTCGTGTTCTTGGGCAAAGCAGTTACCCAGGGCAAAATGATTTTTTCTCCAAAGTAAATTAAAGGAACTAATTTCTACCTGATTCCTTGGGGGAAAAAAAAAAAACAAACTATATTGTAAAATGGAAGTCCATTGTCATTAGCAAGTGAAGTAACCCCCTAAATAAGAGAAATAATAAGTTCAAATTCATGGTCTTAAAAAAAAAATAAAATAATAAAATAAAATAAAAAAATAAATAAATAAAAGAAAAGGCATTCTTTTATAGCTTTGAATGAGCTAGAAAGTTGGTCTCATTCCCCTGAAGCTGCAGGGTTCAGTTCATCCCGTGGGAATAAGAGAACAAGTCTGCTTTCTCTTCTTTCCTGTGTGCTCTCTTCAAGCTCCAGTTCAAACCAGGGGTTGGGTAGACAAATTGAGGGGGGTAGGGTACGGAACCCTTTCCTGGGATAGAAAAGCCAACCCAGGATCCCGCTTATGCAGGAGCTGCCCAGTATCCCCCAGGACAAGCATCACTTTCTGGGGAGTGAACTATGCATGTCTTCAGTGAAACGGGAGTGCTCAGCACACCAGCATCGCTAGGATTTCTGACTGTTTCTTCTGCTTTCTTATCCCTCCTCCCTGCAAAGTTGGATCCTTGAAGTGGGGAGAGGGAATCACCCTGCCTAAAAGCTGCAGTCAGTGACACTACCCACCAGTTAGCAGGTTATCTGGTAGAGTTAGGGTCTCAAACACACAGCCTCAGGACCAGGTTTCAGGAAAAAAAAATGAGGTATGTGGGCATGTTGCCCCTTGAGCTATCTTTCGATGGAGATAAAAGTACTAGAAGCGGCTTCCCAGGTGGTGCTAGGGGTAAAGAACCTGGCTGCCAATGCAGGAGACACAAGAGACATGGGTTCGACCCCTGGGTCAGGAACATTCCCTGGAGGAGGGCATGGCAATACAGGCAATACATGGCAATGCACTCCAGTATTCTTGCCTGGAGAACCCCAAGGACAGAGGAGCCTGGTGGGCTACATTCCCTGGGGTCACACAGAGTCAGACATGACTGAAGCAACTTAGCACACACACACAAGTGCTGGAAACACTTCTCTGGCCTCTTTACTAGACAACGAGAATCTCAAGGACAAGGCTTATCAGAAACCCACTCTCTGCTCTCTCTCAGGGTCAGGGGGTGAGGAGAGGCTACGAGAGGGCTGCCATATCATCTTATAAAGAAATCAGAATTTTTATTTTAAAACAGCTGCTTTTTACACGGTGGCAACTCATGAAAAATCTGTGCAGACCAATCACGTCAGAGCCCCCAGATCACAGCACACGGAGCCCAGCAGCAAGGGGCTTGAGCAACACATCACCGGGTGGCCAGGCCATCTCAGCCAGGTGCTGCCCTGGCACTGGGACCCCAACATGAAAGCCAAGTGGGCCCTGGCCTTCCAACTCCTATGAGTGTATTCAGAAAGTAGTATTAGTCACTCAGTCATGTCTCTGCGACCCCATAGACTGCAATCCACCAGGCTTTTCTGTCCGTGGGATTCTCCAGGCAAGGATACTGGAGTGGGCTGCCATCCCCTTCTCCACGGGACCTTCCCAACCCAGGGATCGCGCCTCAGTCTCCTACGCTGCAGGCAAATTCCTCACTATCTGAGCCACCAGGGACCCAAAGTGAATCCAGTCGAGAAGCAACAGTGCATGAGGCAGGTGCGCTGGAACTAGGCGAGCCAGGATACAAAGATGCCACCTCCCCTGGCCTCTGCTGTGCCTCTGGCCAGACAATAGTCAGGCTGGGCTAGTGGCTGTGCCGGCCCCGGGAAGCGCTCTGGCTTCTCCTTCCATCAAGACTCAGGCAACGCCCCCACCAGCAAGCCTCACATGTGGATGTGATCCTCCTGCTCAGACACAAACACAGCCAAGTCTGGGTTAGGAGGTTATTTCAGACCAGGGTAATTCATGTACAATTGTTCTGTGTAATCTCTAAACCGAAAGCAAATTAGGGAATGAGTGTTACCACCTGCTGAAGGTGAACTCATGGGCTCACAAGACAACCCAGCAGGTGAAGCTGCCCGGAAATGCTCTCAGGTCTGAGAGG